GAGGATGTTCGGACGGGTTCATAATGGGGTGGTCGGGTAATGAGGGTTTGAACCGTTGGAAGCTGGTTTGTGAAATAAAGGGGCATAAAATGGCGGTCTTGTGCGTGTGCCTAATGGGGGAAGGTGACCGGTTCTTGTGCAGTGGGTCGGCTGATTCGAGTGTGTGCATCTGGAGTAGGGAAAAACTCGGAGGGGGTCTGGCTCGGCATTTGGTGATCAGGGGGCACGAGGGCCCGGTGAAGTGCATGCGGGCCGGGCCATCGAGAGTCGGGGGTGGTTTCCTGTTGTATAGCGGGAGCGTGGATAGGAGTGTGAGGGTGTGGTGGGTACCGGGTGATTCGGAGAAGGATTTGGATTTGGTTCGGGTGAAGTGAGATATGTATTTTTTTTTTAGTCTGTTAATTTTTTGTGTTGATATGATTGAGATTCTATTTTTGTGTTTTTTTCAAGATTTTCAGGAGGGGTTTGTATTGTCGGACAGATTTTCTGTGTTCTTCTGTTGTTTACAATTTGCATTTTTGTCATCTACTTTCGTTTTGTAACGTTGAAAGTGTATATTGCAGCAGTTTGGTGGATCAAGTTGTTTTTGTTGATTTGTTGATCCACACACTCATGTCATGTGAGTGTGTGTGTGTGTTATCCATTGTTGATCAATCAAACCTTTTGTATTGCCTGCTTAGTGCTTTGTATTAAACTCCAATCTATCAGTGGCGATTGGTAAAGTGTAATAATCGGTTAAAATCGATTTTGATTAGATCTTGAATTAAAGAGAGTTATTTTAAATAAAGTTGATCGGGCGATCATCAACTAAAACACTTGAACATATATTTACTCGCTCTCCTCCGTCCGCTAAAATCCCCAAATCAGAAAAGCAAAAAACCCTCCCTTTCTTTCACCAACTGCCCCTCCTTCACCGGCGACCAGCGGCCGCTCTCTCGGAGCCGGTTTCCACCGAGTCGGGGCTGGGTGTCCCTATTTCCGCCGCTTCTGAGGCCTTGCGGGTGTATGGTCGGGATTGGTGATCGCCATCTCCTTAGATAAGGAAGTGTCGCCGATCATTAGCATCAGGCCCAGTCCCTGGAGTCCGCCGATTCGTCGGTGCGTTCTTTTTGTGTAGTGTCCAAGGGTGCGGCTCGGCTGCACAGTTGGACCATTTTTCGAGCTATCCGACGTGGTTTCTGACGGCTCCCCTCCTCCCCTGGTTGATGGTTTTTCAGAGTCCATATCTGAATCGAGAGTTGACTCTTCATTAGATCCGTCTAGGCGGCACGTGGCCGTAGTTTTCGGACTTGAAGTTCTGGTTTGCAGCTTTGTTGGATCTCTATGCTAATGGAAATGGCTCGCGTGTGATCCCGGGTGGCCTAGCGTTGTGTATGTTATTTGTAGGGAAAGTCTTAGTTTATTTGTAAATTAGGTGTGCGTTTTTTTTTTTTCCCTGCTTGCTAGTCCAGCTTGTCTGTTTTGATCCCATTTATGGAGTTTTCTTCTCTTTTTTGGAGTTTCGTTTTGTTTTTGCAGTTGTCTCCTTGTTGGAGTTGTACCTCTTAGGTTCATCTAGAATTCTAAGAGGGTAGATTCAGTTATCTGGTTCCTTGATATCAGTTGACATCCCTTTTGTACTCGTTTTGAGTTTTCTATCTATACAAGTGTTTGTCGTTTAAAAAAAATGAGTGAGATGAGAGAGATTATAATGAAATAATATTTAAAATGTAATGATTAAGTTGATGTAATATAAAAGTATAAGGGATATGGTGAAAGTGATAAATAGTTAAAAATATGTGAGTGGATGAAGAGTAATTAAAGTTGATGCGATGTAAGAACGACATGATTGATAATATTTAATTATATTGGTAATATTGAAATAGTAGATTGAGTTAGATTTTAAGTTAAAGTTGATAAAAAAAAACAAACTGAACCAATCAAAACTGATTTTAACAAGTTTTAACTCTTTACGAATGGGCCCCTCAGTCACTAAGACTTACTAAGAGCAACTAAGACTAATACTAAGAGCATCTCCAATAGTCTTTCCATTACTCTATTTTGTTACCACATGACACAAATAATCTTATGTGGAATGAAAAGTGTCTAGAAGGCTTTACAGATGATGAAGTCATTCTAAACAACTTCTATCTTATGTTATATTATTTATTCAATTTATTTCTCTTCTTCAACCAATTAAAATTTGACATATCGCAAATGATACCCCAACTAACATTAACCAACGTAATTTTTTAATTTTCTCTCAATGCCATAAAACACAAAATGAACAATTTTCTATTGAAAATGCTCCAAACGATGGTTTAATAATTATCATCCATTTATCTTTCTATTTTTGTCTTTTATTTTCTTTATATTTTTGTTTTATTTTTTTATAGCATTTGTTCACTTTTGTCCTAAAATTATCATCCATTTATCTTTCTATTTTTGTCTTTTATTTTCTTTATATTTTTGTTTTATTCTTTTTATAGCATTTGTTCACTTTTGTCCTCTCGTATGTAACCTCGATCTGCTCGTGTAGGTCCAGAGAATGCGGAAGAAATAACAATAATAATAAACAAAAATAAAACTCAAAAAAGAATAAATTACTCATCTAAACCTCATAAAAGAAGAGTCTTGTTTCTCAGCATGACTCATACAGCTAAACACAAAATTTATAACATTTTGTCTGATCAGTGAACCAGAATAAAAAAAAAAATAATAATAATAAAAAAACATTAAACATCACTAACAAAAGAGAAAAGAGAAAAAAAAA